TCTTCCCTACTTCTCTGCAGTAATTTTACAAGTTTTTTTTCTCTTCTGTTCAACGCCACTGTTGGTTTTTTTTTTTCATTATTCCACACTTTCTTTTTTTCCTTCTCATAGTTTTAGAACCTTTCTGCTTCCCTCTTCGCTTTAGCTCCCCATTTTTAATCCTCTATATATCTTTAGATCACCCTCTCTGCTCCCCCAGCAAGCTGGAGAATCTGGCAGTGGTGACTTTCTTCCATCTCCACAGGCATGCTGTGATTGCGGCGTTAGACAGAACTGCATTGGGAAACCACCTGAGCTTATCTCATGGAGGGAAAAGGTGAGATAAAAATCGGTGAAGCAAAGATCTTTTTTTTTACCCCTTTGCTTTTCTCACAGGCCAACACAAAGTGAGAGTGGAAAAAAATAGGAGTCCTTTGGCTGCCTCTCCTTTATCAGGCGTGCAAAACCTGGTGGATGCCCATCCTGGTCTCATTCAAATGAGAAAGCAGCTGAAAAGCCTGGGCTATCAGTCACCCAGCTCACAGGAGAAACCCTTCAGCACCCTCAGGTCTAGCTAGGGACTGCAGTTTGCTAGTTGGCATCAGCTGCTGTTGCACGGGGCCATCCCATATGCATGGGAAAAAAAAAATCTCTTAATTGTGAGGATAGTCTTCCAATAAAATGATAATTTGACCTCTCTGGAGGCTGGCAAAGCATCAAGGACTATTTGGGTTTAGATTCAGATAACAAACCTGGAAAACTGGAAGAACCGGTCAGCTTGTAGCACGCTGTGCCCAGCAGTACAGAGGGTTTCGAAGACCCCCAGCAGCACCTGGCAGCAGGGGCACATGGCTGCAGTGCTGTCGGCCAGCCACGTGCCTCGGTCCAGCATCGCTCTTCATGCCAAGCATCACTGAATCGAGCTCTGGTGCTGCAGTGCTGGTCTTAAAAGCCATCACGAGGGGCAGTACGCAATTAGTGGTCCTGCCCCCCGCGTGCTGCGTGCCTTACTCCCTCTCATCAGAAACTCATCTCAGCTAAAAGGATGAGGCACGTCTTGGTGAACGTCACCTCGTGCTCAGCAAAGAGAAGAGTGCTACCTGTGGGCTGCCTGCTGCTTCGGTTTTATTTTTAAAACGGAACATACAAAGCTGTTGCAGAAGCAAGGCTTTCTGAGCACAGGACCCCCACAAAACAGTAAGTAACTATGTTTTAGTTCCTCCAAGTAAAATTTTGCTACTTCTCCCTGACCTTACTGCTTGAAACAGAAATTTATTCTCCTGGTGAAGAATCCCACATACCAGAAAAGATGATTCTGCACTCTGAGGGAACTACTATGTCTTAAAATATGCATGACCTACAAAATAAGTTAAATCTTCCCTTGCATGTCAAAAGTCTAGATGTGTAACAAAAAAAATCTTTCACTGAATGCTTTCTAACATTTTTCTTTTAAAGTTATCACACAAAATTTCACTAAAACAAATTAAATATTTTCCTGTCATAGGCCAAAGCCTCATACAGTTTTTCTCTCATACTGCAAATAGTCTCTTAACAAATAAAAATGACAGTTTTAGCTATCGTATGGTACTTCAAGTTCCACCTGTCCTACAGGAGACTCACATGTCATCAGGGGATTACGATGCCACTTCACTTAGCAACCCTCATGTCACGTAAGGCTTTTTATTGTAGGTGAGGCAAAACGTAAATCCACAGCACCCTTCTGTTTACTTCCAACTACATTAATCTCTTGCATCTATAAGATTAACTTATCCTCCCACATATTATTAATGCCTTTAGCCCTACAAAAACATGTAGACTGAAATCCTTGACCCACTGAAGTTGCTGGGGGCTTTGCAATGAACTTCCAGAGCCCTTCCCCAGCTAATGCATTACTTCTCTGATTAATTTAGATCCAGTTGTTTCTTTTTCCAATCTTACTGGGTTGGAAAAACATCTGAGGTGTAAAAGGATTATGCTGTTTTTCTGTAACTTGCAACAGTGCAAGATGGTCCTGGTACATTTGGGGCTAGAACAGTGTCTATGGTTATGTTTGCTTGGTAGTTCAGCATCTTAGGACTATCTCTGTTAAGTCTACAAAATTCAAACTGTCTGTGCTGAAATAATCCCTCACAACCTATTGCTGCACATATAGCCCTTGGACTCTGTGTACTACAAGACCAAATGACATAGCAGGTTTACTATTTCAAGGTAATTTGGTACAGGTTAAGTGAAACTCTACAGTCAAATTGGTTCAAATATTAGTTCCAATACAGTTTCATAGTCTCCCACCTAACATGGCAAAAATCCATACAGACAACAGCAGAATATCAAGCAAAACCCCACAGCTTGTTCCTTTGCTTTCCAAACCTGAAATCCATTATCTAGAGATCCACCACTTACTAGCACACATACCAGAGCATAGTCTGAGCAGATGGTTCAAAGCTAACTGCCAATCCGTTTGCAGTTCAAAACAGTGGGGTGAACTACTCCAGCTGTTTTCCAGATCAAAAATATTATTGTCATTTTGCTATCGCTGCGTGCTGACGGTTATGTAACGAAAATGCACATGTCCCTCTGCCTGGAATGCAATTAATTTCCTCCCTCCCCACTGAGAGTGGTAAGTAACAATTCAGACAGTCTGGATGCTTCAGTTTTGAGCATGGCCAGAGATGCAACCCTGGAATTATTCCACGTGGTAACCCACTATTTGTAACACACCAGTCTTCTGGAGGTCTTACACACAGGGTATATTTTGCAGCTTGGAAGAAAATAAACACTATCATCCTGTTTATACATGACCTCTTACTGTCTGTAGGGTACTATGAATGCTTTGCTGTAGTTCTTTAGTTTAACCATAGGCTTTGCTTTAGGTTGGAATTTTAAGTATTCTAAATAAGTGTGCTAACTAGATGAAGTAATTACTTTCGATATGAAATCAGCCGCTGTCCTTGCTGTATACTTTGGTGTGCAAAAATAAGACATTGTACACTATTAGCTTTAAAAGAGCAGCATAATCCCATCTTAATTTACAAATATCCAAACATCATGCAGGCGGTTAAATTCAAACTCCATAATGCTTAAGCACTTCGTGAAATTTGCTTCTATAAAGAGAACAACTGGAACGCCCTTGCTTAGAACAGCGCACTCAAGAAACAAAACTAATTTCCTCAATGCAATCTTTTCTGCAATGTGCCTTTCTTTCATCTCTGTAAGTGCAGCTACCCCAGTGATTCTTCCATATCAACTATAAGATCTTGAGGACAAGAGCTGTTTCTCTATAAAACGTTTGCACAGTACTTAACATCTCTCAGTTGTTCCTGCGACACAAATACAACGGGGTGATCAACTGCATGGTAGGGTGTCAACTGAGATGAAACATTAACTTAGTACTTAACTGCAGCAATTTCCTTTAATGTGTTATTACTTGGTTCAGCTTGTTCTGGATTTCTGGCACGGTTTACAGCTTACTTCTGTAGGCAGCACCTGCAGCGGTTTTACTGTTCTTACCTGGTCAAATACGCCAGAGCCAGCTCAGATCCGGACTGCTTTTTGGGCTCCACCTTTTTAGTAGAGATTCCAGCTTCCCTCATCAGCTGTTTTTCCTTCTTCTTGCGCTCTTTTTTTAATTTTCTTTCCAGTTTCCTCCTTTCCTCTGCTGTAAGTCCTTCCTCTTCTTTCATTGCCTGAAAAAAAAAACAACAAACATTTAAATAAAGGCAGAGGTAATATTTAAAACCAGAAGCTTCAAGCTTCATAATTTTACTGTTCACTATACTTCCATCACCTTTCTACTTTGCTCAATTCACAGAACTGTAAATACTGCACTTGCAGAGATCTGCAGAACTGCCCTCTATAGATGATTATACTGTTCTCAGCAGTACAATAATCTGAGCTCCTTCTAGATATGTATTAAACATCACATCTAAAATCTGTTGTACTGTTTGTTCTCCCATACTCAAACCTGAGGGAGGAATGCGAACAGCAGAGGCTGTTGCATAGCGGAGAGAGAGTATGGATTTTTTTATCATACACACATTTAAGAGGGAGAAGTAGGGTTTCCTTAAGACCCTTAGTTTCTGGGGCTGTTTGTTCTGTAATCTGACACTTCCCTGGACTGAGAAAACTTCTGTCTGCCAGACGGGGCCTTCATCTCCATTATAACAAAGGAGATGACGTGACAACAATCATCTTCATCCAAGACCTCTTGGAGATCCTTTAGCAATTTTGGGTAAATGTATGCACAATCTTCAATAAACACATACACATACACCCCACACAAGTGAAGTTTCTTTAGGTTTCCAGGCAGAACACTTAATTACTCACATTGAAAACCATATTACTATAAATATATGCATAAGTATGCCCCAAATGAAAATAAGTATTTCATGTACAGATGAAGAGCATTAGATACACTGAGTTTATCAGGGAAAATCCAGTGGGAGACTGCATGCAAGCATTTGTTGAGTTACTTAAATCCATAGTTCTTCTACTCCAAACAAATAATGTGCACTTTCGGATGTTTCTGCCAAATCAGCGTGTCCCTCAGACACTTCAACTATAAGCTGATGAAGGTGGAGTATAGAGAGACAAGTAAGGCAGTGCAGAGGAGCCAACCATGCCTCCAGCAGCTGTATTAGCATCTCACATGCCAAGGCTGGGAAGATAAAGGAGTCTAACCACCACCAGCGTTTCCAAGAACAAAAATTACATTCACAGAGTGGACTTGGTTCAGATCCAGCAGCTTTACTATAGCACCGTACTTGCCAGGTGGGGTCCTCTGCCAGAGCATCGGAAACCCATGAAGGCCAACCTGAATGCAAAAGAAATGCTCCTCCTCCTCTCTCTGCTCCCTCCTCATCTGTTTGAGGAACCTGTAACTGAAACCTGAATGCAGAAGATCAACTGCTTTATGGAAAGATTAGTGAAAACCACTTTATAAACTGGCAAACTCTTACTGTTCTATCGATTTGTGTTTGCCGACTGCCTTCAAATGAAAATCTAGACATGGTGCTAAATAACATTATTCTTGCCGACATTCAAGCAACGGATGGTTAAACAAGGTAATACCTGAACACAATTTATTTGCCAAAAACACCTGCTAAGGACTAAACACTTGTTGAGTGTCAATTCATGTATCATCTAAGTTTACTCTGATTCATCCTTTCAACTTTCTATTTCCAAAGACAAAAAAAGGGCAAGAAAGCAGAAATTAGAATAAATGGGAGTGGGATAGTAGAGAGGATTTGCTTTTTTAAAAATGCTTTTTAGCTACTTTTATGGAAAAGGCAGCATTCATGTGCAAACATATGCAAAAAAGCAGCATATGTTGCATTTGCGTAGAAGACATTTTAAAACTTACGCTCAGAATGAAATAATATTTAGAGTGAAGGTAGGTACGTAATTGTTATACAGGAAACAACGTTTTCATTTGAAAAGCCACCCTGATACTTACTAAAATAACAATCCAGCCACACAAAGCCCAGGAAAACACTGAGGGTGGTCATTTATAAAGTGTTTGTAAAAGATTACTACAGCAGCTGTCCAACAGACGACACACTACAGTTAATCTTCTTTTAAAAATAATGTAATGAATTTGTTTACTTTTCTGTGAGCCATGAAGCTTTCAAATAAAGTGACTGTGGCACATCATTAGAGCTGGTCTGATAAAGAGGCCTCCGCTTCTTCGTACTTACAGTAAATGCATATCTCTGTACCCTCCCTTCCCCCCACATTCCTTGCATTATCAAAAAGCTTTTTATCCCTCTCCCCGACCGCTCCATTAAAAAACAAAACAAGTTGCTCCCTCCCTGTAGGTCCCAGCATAAATACCGAGCCCTGACAACATTTGTTTCCAGCATCGCAATTGATGCACCGTGGGCTGTCTGAAACAAGAGCATTGTTCTCTCTGCAGGGCTGGTGCTGTCTTGGGCATGAAAGAGTCAGGATTTACAGCTGGAGGTACCTTCTGCTAACCCACTGCATCATTCAAGGACAATCGGATTCACCAGGCTTCCGTTTGGGACTCCCAGCACACGTACTGCGACAGCGCTCACGACTTTACAGCTCAAATGACTTCTCTAGTTGCAACTATACTTTCACCCATCCGCGTCAACTTGATTAATCTAGTAGCTCATACCACAATCTGTCCTTGACTGGTTTTTAATTTGAAAGCCTCAAGTTTTATGTGCTTCATAAAATACCTATATTTGGTAGTATATTCTCCACTGAAGCCAAGGGTGGTTTTATGGCAACTTCGAAAAAAAACAACACAAGCAAAAGCAACCTTCCCCAAAATCTGAGATTCGAAAGAAAACACAACCAAACTTCTCACTGGAATTTAAAGCCTAGCTGTATTTTAGCTTGGATGACCTCTGTTATGATACTCTACTGATGCATCTCTCCTTTCTTTAAATCAACAGCCTTATTTTTTAATTTTACTTTCTCTGAACCATTAGTGTGACTATTTTTCTGAAAGATGTGTCCAAAGTTTGTGAGCCATTCAGATTTAGAATTTTAGTATTATGTCATTACTTAAATTTAAAACCCCCAACCAACAGGACTTCATTGTCTTGAGGTCATAAATACTCCACACTGTCTCCTTCTATATTTATAAAGTGACCTCACAATTTGTAGTGCTACAATTTAGCCTTAACTACAACATTGTAAAGTCCATAGCTGAGCGTGTGAGACACTTGTTTATTGATGTGATAAATCCAAACCACATGCAGACAGGAAAACACAACACTTGCTTATTTGCAAAGCCTGCTGAGAGCTACCACACCACCTTGGACCGTGGGCTCATTAGATCTCAATCTAAACAAGGTCAGGCTAGGTCACTACACTTGAATGAATGACATTCAGAGGAGAGCCAGCGGTTTTTTGTGATTAAGGAGGTGGGAGTCTTCTACTTGGAAACTTTCCAGAAGGCCTGAAAAGGTGCTAAAAGGGATATTGCCACTGGATGCCATGTTTTGAATAAAAGACAGACCCCCAAATATTTAACACTCACACTCATAAAAATCCATGTCATCTTTGCAAGGGTATGGAGATGTGAGCTCAGACATCTTCAAGTGAACTTCCAAAGACCATATTATACCATGCCAATCTGCCTGCCAATACAGCACCTTTCATCAGCGCCAGTCTCTAAATTTCTGAATTGTGTGCAAACATGGTAACATACTGTAAATAGTCCAAGACATCTGATTCAAAATATCTGGAGGCTTCAGCTGCAGCAGTTTTACATGCCAGCTGAAGTTTGCCATTATTCTTTGTAATCTGGAAGCATTGCACAAATTTAAAACATTTTGTAAGTCTTCTTTAGAAATGAGCTTACCCACCATAAAAGAGGAGCCATCTCAACCTGAAGTAAAGCATTTTAAAGCAGTCCTGCTAAGCAATTCAGAACAGAGAAAAATGACTGTAACTGCAAGAGAAATTGGAAAAGGCAGACAGACGTATCCCAGACAGGATTTCTTGAAAATATCTGACCCTTTTTTCTGCAGCAAGAGTGGCAAAACCAAACTGGTGCCATTTTTAGAGACTGTATCTGCATAGAACCTAATACTGCCAGGGGACTATGAACCATAATAGCTAAGCAACCAGTACCAAGATGGTATTAACAGCACACTAGTTAAATTGCGTTTCAGCAGAGCAGTAAACACATTTTTAAATTTGTTTCCAGATTTATAGTTACCCAAAGGTCCCTGACTGCCTCATATTTGAGTAGAATTGAAGATATCTTCTAAAGACTTCTGTTCCTCCTCCTCACTCGTCACTCCTTCAAAGACTCCTACATTTGCACCCCCAGTTGTCTGTTGCCAGCACAGAATAAGGTTGACAAAGAGTCAGAAACTCTGAAGAATTGCCACAACAAACCAAATACTCATTTATTACAAATTGGCCTTTGGGATTCGCCTGTGTAGGTCGGAACTTTCCGCCTGTTCAGGGGTTAGGCTCTGCTGCCAAACCTATCGCAGTAACCACAGTCCAAGCCACAATACCAAATTTACTATTTATTAGTGCCAGTGAATCCAGCTCCTCCAAAAGCCAAGAGACTTTCATTTTTTTCTACCAGCACAGCAACACAAGTCTGTACAACGGCAAAGCAAGCAACGTCATAAATTCAGAGGAATTAATTATAACTTACTAACAGTGACAAACGTACAAGGGGGCATCAAATTTTTGAACTCCAAAGAGAAAGATGGAGAAACAGATAATACAACTTGTTTCGTAGCAGAAGCTAAAAGCTTGTTTGTTCATTAAGCTCATGTTATTCCATAACTTTTAATACAGAGAACTGTCAGAAGGAGCTTTGTTCACTGACCAAGAACCGACGAGGAGCTACTGACCTGTCACATAACGGCTTCTGCTTACAAGTAGCCTTTTGCCCCAAAAATGCTCCATGCATGATATCAGCATGCAAAATGTTCTGTTTCTGTCTTGCACAATACATACGAACCCAGATAAATAACTGGCCATCTGCCAGCTGAAAAACAAAAAACGGAATCTATAAACACAGTTCAAAACCTCCAAAGAAGAAAGACTGGCAAATCCTTAGATGTAAGGTTCATAAAAGAAAGATTGACAAATGATTTACTCTCTGAGGCTTGCCAAAGAATCATGCTGCAACTACAGCTAAAGAATTTGCATCAAATACTTCACGGCCATATTGAATTTAAAT